GCAGGGTAATGAGAAGGTGCCAGCCATTCACACATCTGGGGATAATTATCCTAGAAGAAGGCACAAGTGTATGGACACACAGAATGTGTTTGTCCAGAGATGAAGCCAGAGGAAGCTAGTGTGGCTGGTGGGAGCTTGGAAGGACAGTAGGGGACAGCGGGGAGGGAGGGGCCAGGGCCTGAATGCTTGATGGCTGTGTGAGTGGTCCATTCTGTGTGACAACATTAGCCAATCTTGAGTGACTTCAGCAACAAACATGTATTATCTCACACTATCTGTGGACCAGGAATTGACCATAATTCACCTAGAGGCCTCTGCCAGTGTCTCCCTGGGGTCAAGGACTGTGAACTCATTGAGTCAGGACCCAAGAGCTCCTCTGTCATGGTCTCAATGCTAAACCACAGATGCCTCTTCGTATGGCAACTTGTAATATACAGGCTTGTTCCTTAGAGTGAGGGACCAGAAAGAGAGAAGGACGGAGAGAGAGGAAACTGCAATACAAATGAAGAAGTGGAAATTATACACCTAAATCCTGGGGATTTTCAAATGGTACTGCTGCTGCTGCTGCTAAGTCGCATCAGTCGTGTCTGACTCTGTGCGACCCCATAGATGGGAGCCCGCCAGGCTCCCCCGTCCCTGGGATTCTCCAGGCAAGAACAGTGGGGTGGGTTGCCATTTCCTTCTCCAATGCATGAAAGTGAAAAGTGAAAGTGAACTCGCTCAGTCGTGTCTGACTCTCAGTGACCCCATGGACTGCAGCCTACCAGGCTCCTCTGTCCATGGGATTTTCCAGGCAAGAGTACTGGAGTGGGTCACCAGTGCCTTCTCTGTCAAATGGTTACAACCACTGTACATAACACTTCAGCAGTTTCTCAAAAGGACAAGCCTACAATTTTCAGTCAATCCCCAAATCCCCCTCCTACATCAATACCCAAAAGCATGTGAATACACATATTCACATGCCTGTACACAAGTATTCAGAGCACCACTGTTCAGAAGAGCCCAAAGGTGAAAACTCTAATGTCCATTAACAGATGAAAGCCAAATGTGCTGGTTCCTGAATGGAGTATTACTTAGCAATGAAAAGAGTGAAAATGTTCTCAAATAGACATTTAATAGGTTTATATAACATTGTGAATGAACTTCTTGTAATTTACATGTACAATCTAAGATAATCAAACTATTAAATTTTAAGTGAACTTTATATCATAAACAATTTAGTATACATTAAAAAAATACCAAAAATGGACTTGCTCTAACTCTGGAGCTCTGGTGGGCAGTAGAGGTGTAGTTTGCTCCAGGTCTGGAGATGTTTCCAGAGCTTGTTCTGGAGCTGGTGCTGTAGTTCCAAGGAGAGAAAACATCAATAGGACTGCTTTTCCAAGTGTCTCCCAAAAACAGAAAAGAAAGCTTCTCACTGCCACTCAATGATCTCTCAAAGATGCCAGCCTCGGAAAGTCTTCCCAGACTGCAGTCCAGGGCAATAGTGATCTGAGCTTCCTCATTGCTCCTGGCCCAGATCCAGCCTCAGAAGGTTCTGCTCTGTGTGGTTCAGCTCCCTCCCATCCTCATTTGCTCCCATCACATTCCCCTCTGCCTCAGTGGGCTCCAGGGTCTCCAGCTGTGCCAGGAGATATAGGGTTTGGTGCTCCAGGTCTGAGGCATGCTGAGCTCTATTTAAGCCAGTAGCATCCTCAGGCAGGGAAACTCTGGGGGCTGGTGGAAACCCTCAGGTTAATGGTACAGCTAGGTACCCAGGATGGTGGACATGGCCCTGGGGGGGGTCAGGTGGGCAGAAGAGTCAGAGACCTGGCCTTGCTTCCGCACTGAGCTCCCGGGCAGCCCTGTGGGGTCTGGGACTTTTTGCCTTCTGCTCCTGCCCATTCAGAGGCCAGTTCTCCTCCATGTCACATCTCACTTGGTGGTTCTTTGGAAAACTGAGTCCCTCCCTCTTGAATCAAAGTCCCACTCACATTTTCAGCTGGTGTAGGGGTCCACTGTCTCATCAGAGTAAGGGAGGATGCATCCATACCTAGAGGAGGCCAGGAAGGCATCACATGGACAGTACTGGAGACACGCCCAGATGTGATGGCCAGTGTGACAGTGTGACCCCCGGGAGAACTGAAGCCCTGGAGGGCAGGACTGCTGTCTGCTCAATGTATTACATGATGGTTGTTCCTAGAAAAGTGCCTGCACCTTGTGGGCCTTCCTGTATACTTCAAGAATGAATGAGCCCAACCAGCCTCGTCTGAGTGCCTGGGGCACTACTGATCACTCCCAGGGACCCCTGCTCTCACTCACCCAGGACAGGGCACCTCTCACAACTCACCTTGCAAATGGGAATCAGTTTGGCCCAAGGTCAAAGGCCAGAGACAACTGAGACAGAGACTTCCTTGAGGGGAGGAGGAACATGATGACTAAGTACAATCACAGCCCCTCCAGCAGACTTTTCCATGGGGCCAGGTCCCCAGAAAGCACTTTCCAACTTTCCAGGAAGGACCCACTTAGTCCCCACATTCCCCCTGAGGGCTGGTTCTCCCTTTGCCCTTGTGTGCAGAGGGACCAACTGGGGCTTAGAGAGGTGGAGAGATATTCCTGTGACTCCAGCTGGAATGGGGCCACTCCCCAGTGTGCCATAGGTGGAGGGGAGTGCTCACCTGGTGAAGAAGGTCCAGCACCTGCTTTGTTCTTGTTGTTCAGTCACTTAGTCTGACATGTTGCAACCCTGTGCATGGCAGTACACTGGCTTTCCTGTGCTTCACTATCTCCTGGAGTTTGCTCAAACTCATGTTCATGGAGTCAGGGAAGCCATCCAACCATCTCGTCCTCTGTTGTCCCCTTCTCCTCTTGCCTTCAATCTTTGCAGCATCAGAGTCTTTCCCAATGAGTTGGCTCTTTGCTTCCATCAGAATATTCTCCAATGAGTCAGCTCTTCCCACCAGGGGGCCAAAGTATTGGAGATTCAGCTTCAGCATCAGTCCTTCCAATGAATATTCAGGACTGATTTCCTTTAGGATTGACTGGTTTGATCTCTTTGCAGTCCAAGGGACTCTCAAGAGTCTTCTCCAACACCACAGTGAAAAAGCATCAATTCTTCAGCGCATCATGCAGATCTCATTCTTCACATCACATCTTGCAGGTCTCATGTCCCCTGTGGGACACATTTTCCCTCTGGGGTGTAATACAGCAGACACACAAGTCCGAGGCAGCAGCACAGACACCAGGAAAGCAGGGGCTGGAGCTCAGAATGAGACCCCTGGACTCATGGCAGGAGGAGGGCAGGAGAGCCTTCTGCAGAATAAAGGTCCTGGCATCACAAGTGAACTGGCGATTGGGGATGGTTTCATATGTTAGAAACTCGGAGCAGTTTTTATTGAACAGCTCTCTGTGTGTTAAATTCATCATACCTGTGGTGGGGACCAAAACACCCCATTCTGGGGATGAGAACTGTGGTGACAGGGGTGAGCCCTCTTCCTCACCGCAGCAAAGAGAGGCCCACAAAGCCACTGAGGGGCGCCTTCCACCTATGGCGAGGCCTGGGGTTCATTGTCACCCAGGCGTAAACCACCCAGAGATGGGGAAGGCTGGGCAGACTCTGTGCAGGCTTCGACAGCTCCTTGTTTAAACCGTCGCTATCCATTTGAAAAACTTAGGCCCAAATAGGAGTGGGAAAAACCAGGGCTAGGGGCAGGGGCACAGTCTCAGGCCATCCTAAGCTAGGGCAGCACCACACACACCAGCTTGGCTTTGGGAATTGGAGAGCCAGAACCCCAGAACATCCCCACTCACCTGGATTAGATGTCTTTGGGTGTTCACACAAATATACACAACACTCACACTAACATCAGAAGAGGGGACAGTAGGGCATTGGGGTCAAAGGAGGAGTGGACCTGGGGTGCCGACAAATGAAAAAGAAGCAAGGCGATGGTCACAGACTGGATCTCACGGTGTCTCTGGTGCAGGAACGGACCATGACTCAGCCGGAGGCCTCTGCCAGTGTCTCCCAGGGATTTGAGGCTGTGGACTCACCTGAGACACGAGCTGCTTCATTCAGTGGCAGGTCACAGGGGCCTCTTCAGAGGCTTCATCCCCACATTGAGGGACCAGGTAGGGGGAATGTGTGGCAGAGAGGACACTGCAACACTAAAGAAGAACTGCAAATGGAAACACTAATGGAACACTTCCACCACAGGTCCTCAACAAGGCAACTAGACACTTTTCAGTAGATGCCCACATTCCACTCCTACATCACCCCAAAAGAAGTAAACACAGAAAGTCACAAGCCTGTACACAACTGTTCAGAGCAGCACTATGCACAAGAGCCCACAGGTGAATACAGTCCTATTGTCCATCAACAGATGAGGGGAGAGTCGAGTGCAGTGCCTTCCCAGCCTGCAGGATTATTCAGTGTCAAATAGGACGCAGATGCTCTGCAACAGACAACAGACGTGGTCATCCTACTGAATGTTCTCCATGCCACTCACAGATACAATTGAAAAACGCATAGAATTCAGTTTCTAAGTTCACTTTATCTCACAGAAAAAATAAGTTTGTACATGTAATCAAAAAATCCAAACACATATGAAGAGAGGGACGTATCGGGCTGGAGACACAGGCTCAGGGCTGGCGCTGGCACAGGGGCAGCACAGCATCTGCCTGGGAAGGTGAGGCTGGCTGACCAAGTGGGAGCAGCTCCAGGGATGTGAGGGGAGGAACTGGCTCCAGTGCCTGAGCTGCTAGAAAAGCTGTGTCTGCTGGGGTCTCTCGAAGCACAGCTGGATAACACCGGAGCCACAGCTGACTGCAAAGCACCAAGGAGCTCCAGAGCCGAGGCAGTGCCCTGGCCGAGGTTGGCTTAAGTCTGGGGACTGAGGCTGTAGAAGCAGCGCTGGCACAGGATTTCCGGGCGATTCAGGCTCTGAAGGAGGCAGAGAGCTGTTTCTTGCACATTCTCTGGATCTAGAAGTGGAGCCTGGTGGTACTTTAGCTCGCTTCCAAGCCTAAGGGAGAGCCACGGCATGAGCACGCTGCGGCACTGGGTTTGGAGCCGGCGTGTTTATTTGATGCAGTCCTTGAACTTGAATGGGAGCTGGGCTTTGAGCTTGCTCTGACTGTGGAGCTGTGGCAGGTAGTAGGGGTGCTGTTGGCTCTAGGTCTGGGGATGTTTCCAGAGCTGCTTCTCCAGCGGGTGCTGTTTCTCGCAGAAGAGCAAACACTGTCAGTAAGACTGCTTGTCCATGGATCCCAAAGACAGGACACTACTTGCTACTTAGCCCTGAAATCTCAATCCAAGATGCCTCCTACCCCCAGGAAGTCCTCCCAGGCTGCAGTCCTGGGGAATAGTGATCTGAGCCGCCTCAATGCACCTGGTCTAGCTCCAGCCTCAGGAGGCTCTGCTCTGGGTGGCCCAGCCCCCTCCCTTCCTTATTCGCCCCCCTCCTCCTCACCCACCCCGAGTCCTCCTCACCGTGCCCCTCTGCCTCAGTGGGCTCCAGGGTTTCCAGCTGCGCCAGGAGATGGCGGGCTCGCTGCTCCAGGTCCGAGTCGGGCATGCTGAGCTCTACGTAAGCGAGGAGCATCTTCAGGCAGGGACGGTCTGGGGACTGCAGGAAGTCCTCAGGGTAAACCTGCAGCCAGGTGCCCAGGATGGAGGCCATGGCCCTGGGGGCGTCACGGGGGCAGCAGAGTCAGAGACCTGGCTTTCCCACCACACTGCACTCCGGGGCCGCCCTGCGGGGACATGGGCCTCTGCACCTTCTGCCCCTGCCCATCCAGAGGCCAGTTCTCCTCTACGCTCCATCTCACCTGGCTGACCAGGCAGAGGAGGCCTGGACACAGGGGAGGGGCCACCAACGGGCCTGCTCAAGTGACAGCCCTTGATCCACGGCGTGACCATCTGTCCGCTTCCTGAGGGCAGCCTGACACGGTGCACTGAGCCTCCCCCTGCCCCGGCCCCTGGTGTCACCACTGCGAGTGCAGACCCGGCGTCTCCTCTGCTCACTGCATCTCGGGAACACGAAGCGGTCCCAGGAGTGTCTGGCCCAGGAGGGCACACACAGACTCTGTCACCTGCCCAGGCTTCCTGCGGGCCTCCTAACACCTTAGATTAACCCCCTACATCTAAGGTCTGCCTCATCCCTAGGGACGCGCCTTCATCTCCTCCTGCCACTGACACTCATCCTGTACCAGCGCGGGCTCAGCTGTCCCCTGAGTGTCAGTAGGTCCCCTGAGCACCAGCTGAGCAACCCCAGCTGAGGCTCCACCAGACAGGGAGCACGGTGCCCTCCACGCTTTGTGTTCTGGGTCCCGGGATCGGGGGTAGAGGCAGGACTGGGATGGACAGGGGACCGCTGTGGGCTCTCATGGGGTGGACTGTGACCTCTGACCTACCAGATGGTCCTCAGAGCACCCCAGACCCCTCCACAGCTCTCTTGGCCTCCTTTCCGCTTTTCCAGGGGACCCCCCCAGACCTTGGCCCCCAGTAGGTTCCAGACTATGTGAGACCCAGGATTCTGCTAGCCCTGCCCATCCGGCAACCCCATTACTCCTGGCAGCTCTCTGGGGAAGGCAGGCGCTCCCTCTTGAATCACAATCCACTCACATTTTCAGCTGGTGCAGGGGTCCACCATCCTCATCGCAGTAAGGGAGGATGCATCCGTACCTACAGGAGGCCAGGAGGGTGTAACATGGACAGCACTGGAGACACGCCCGCATGTGACGGCTAGTGCGACAGGGTTCCCCCTCTCCCCCAGCCCCTCACCCCGAGAGAACTGAAGCCGTGGGGTGCAGGACTGCTCTCTGCTCGATGCATTACATGATGCTTGTTCCTAGAAAAGTGCCTGAGCCTTGTGCACCTTCCTCTATATTTCAAGAACGAAAGAGCCCAACCAGCCCCTTCAGAGTGCCTGGGGCACCACTGATCACTCCCAGGGACCCCTGCTCTCACTCACCCAGGACAGGGCACCTCTCACACCTCACCTTGCAATTGGCAAAATGCTTTGGGCCAAAGTGAAAGGCACAGAGACAACCGAGACAGAGGCTTCCTCGAGGTGAGGAGGAACGTGATGACTCAGCACAACCCCAGCCTTTCCAGGGGACCAGGTTCCCGAAAGCACTTTCCGGGACGCACCCACTTAGTGCCCACAGTCACCCTGGGGGCTGCTCCTCCCTTTCCCCTCATGTGCAGAAGGGGACAACTGGGGCTCAGAGAGGTGGACAGACATTCCCACGACTCACAGCTGGAAGCTGCCCGGGTCCCCCTGAGTCCCCAGTTCGGGAGGGGAAGTGCTCACCTCGTGAAGAGAAGGTCCAGCACTTGCTGGGGGGTACCAAAAGCCCTGTAGGTGGCCAGGAATGTGGAGAGGTAGGAGGGGTCACAGCCCAGGAAGGCAGGCACCAGATTGCCCACCAACGTCTCCAGTCTGCGTCTCTGGACGCTCCACACCCTGCAGGTCTCATTCCTGTCCCCTGCAGACACACTTTCCCCCTCGGGTGGAACACAGCAGAGACACGAGTCAGAGGCGGCACCAAAGACTCCAGGAAGGCAGGGGCTGGAGCTCAGACTGAGTCCTCAAGCGTCCAGGACTCAGGGCAGGAGGAGGGGCAGGAGCGCCCTCCGCAGGATAAACGTCCTGGCATCACGAGTGAACTGGCGCTGGGCCATGGTTACGTGTGTTAGCGTCTCGGGGCAGTTTGTATTGGACAGCTCCCCGTGTGTTAACTGCATCATCCCTGTGGTGGTGTCCAAAACTTCCCATTCTGTGGATGAGAACTGGGGTGAGAGGGGCTGATCCTGGGGTGAGAGACATCAGGATTCTCAGGCCTACGTGGATACCTGGGGATGGTGTTAGTACAGGATAAACTGCAGAAAAATGCAGACAGGCTCCTTGGGGACATTAAGTGAAATCCTATCCCAATCTCCTTCTGAGAGTCCCACATGGAAGTGAACAGTGATTTTGCATCTGGACAAGTCAGGGCCTGGGCCGCAAGGGCGCTTCTCAGAGCTGACAGTGTCGGGTTCCTCTGGGAGCAGGACTCCAGGAGGGGCCCAGGGCCGGGCCAGGGTGGCTCTGGGATCCAGAGCGTCCTGGGTGTCAGGTCTCCCCCCACCTGGCACTCACCCTGCGCCCTCCCTGGGCTCTGTCGCTGGTGTGGGGCTCCTGCCCCTCGTGCAGGGATGTGGAGCAGGGGGCTCCGAGGACCGGCTCCTGTCTGCAGTGCCGTGAGGAGCCCTGTGAACAAGTGCCCGGCAGCCGGGCAGAAAGTCTCAGGCCGCCGGCCAGCTGCCTGTGGTGCTTCCCGGACCCCAGACAGCTCCCCTCCAGACACACGCCCACCACTCTCTGCACAGACCTCCACCGAGGACGCACACAGCCGACCACCTGACAGCCTTGGGTCCACACTGGCACAGAGCAGAGCACCTCAGGGATCCTGCTTCCCCACTGCCAGCCCGTCCTCAGGTGTGACCGTGACAGGACCCCCAGGTCACCACGTGCCCACCAACCCGCTCCTGCCCAGAGGGAGAACCTCCCCTCAAGTCCCACTTCCCCGCACATGGAGATGAGGGCAGCTGGCCCTGCCCAGGGAGGGCTCCCAGTGGCGGCCAGGCCTCGTGTGGCCAGCTCTAGGTTGACTGGGAGTACCTTCGGTGCCCTCCTGATAAAGGACCAGAGGCATCCAGGCTGAGCACTGAACCGCCTGAAACATCTGAAAAACCTCTCCCTCCAGGGTTTCCTGAAGCAGAAACCCTGGTCAGTCGATACACAACTAGAAAGCATCCTTCTGGATGAAGACTCTCCAGCCAAGTGAGCCCCAACTGGCTGTGGCGCTGTTGCTAGAAGGTGGGTGCCTGGTTACAGACTTCCGAGTTCTGTTAGAGTCTGCCATTGAGGAAATGACTTCACCACCCGGGGGCCCATTCCTTGGATTGACATTTGACAGCCCTGCACATAGTCCTCGCGATCCTGCCCGCTCATCCCTCATCCACGCACCCCCGGGCCTCACCCTGTTGCCCCACACAGCCCTCCACACAGCTCCCTGGCAGGCTGTGTGTGCAGGTCTGAGGAGACAGACCTGGGCCCAGACTCATCTCCCAATTCCTACCTGTTCTCCATCCTAGTTGAGTCCTTGTGTCTCTCAAGACCTGTCCATGTCCCCACCTGCACACTGGGGATGATGCCCGCATGGGATCATCCTCAGACATAGGTGGGACAAGACCTGGAACATGTGGGAGTCGTGTCTCAGGCAGGCAGTGCCTCCAGCCCTGTATATTTTTCTTATTACCTTCCTCCTATCTGTCCCTCTTCTGATCCCACCTCATAGTCTTTATTATATTCACTGTGCACCTGTGTGTGTGTTTGGAGTGCTCACTCCAAGAGGTGAAAAGAAAACTACCCCTACACGGGAAGGGAGAGGCATGAGCTTCCTAAGATTTTCCCTGGTGGCTCAGATGGTAAAAAATCTGCCTTCAGTGCAGGAGACCCAGGTTCAATCCCTGGGCTGGGGAGATTCCCTGGAGAAGGGAATGGCAACCCACTCCAGTATTCCTGCCTGTAGAATTCTATGTTCAGATGAGCCTGGTAGTCTACAGACCATGGGGTCACAAACAGTCGGACACAACTGAAGAACTAATACTTTCTTTTTTTCACTTTCCTAAGATCCTAGGGTTCCTAATTTTCAAGCCAATTCCTTCATGGGGCTCACATCCTGGTAGGCTCTGCTTTTTTGGCTGGACTTACAGTGGGCCAGGGACAGATTGGGAGATGATGGGCTGCCAGCATCAGAGAGACTTGAGCATCTGATTTGCTGCTGCCTTTATGTCCCTGTCCTTAAACATCCCTCCTCAAGACTGAGGCTGGCTGTCTCATTTTATCCAGGCCCAACTCTATATAAATACCAGGATGAAGAGGATTTTTAGTTAGCTGGAGGTAAAAGCTCCTCAGCCTCACCTGAAATCCCAATAAGTAGTTGCTCCCAGTGACTTAATTAGGAAAGGGGCTTACTTCTTACCTAACTTCATAAGTGTCTAAGTTTTAATTGGCCCCAAGTTGCCCTCCGGACATCCCTCCCCCAGCCCCCGCATCCATGCAGCAGCAGCTCCATCTCTCCACCTGCTCAACCCAGGACCCCAGGGCTCCATCTGCTCCCTCTTTCCTCCGCACCCCCACATGTCATCACCCCATCCCCTGGCCTTAGAGCCCAAGTCTAGAATGGTTTCCTCACCTCTCTGCCCTTCCCTCCCCTCTCCTAGTCCCGGCCCCTGCCAACACTGTTCCTGATTCACTTTCTTCTGTTTCTCAGTCTCTGATCCAGGAGGAGGTTGAACAGACAAATCTGATCCTGTCACTCTGCTGACAAACAGGAAACCTATCAGCTGCACTCGGGAAAAGCTCCAGTCCTCAGCCAGACCTCAAGCCCCTCCTGTCAGCCTGCTCCCCTCAGTCCAGCCACACTGGCCTCTGGCTGTTCTTCCAAGGATGCCCCCTCCCCAGCCTTCAAAAGCCCCAGACTGGGACCCCACTGAACTCTTTACTTAGATGGACTCCTCCTTCAGGTCTTGCTGGAGCTTGCTCCCAGTGCTCTCTGTTCCTCCCCCAGGGCTATTTCCATAGTTCTGGGAGTTGTCCTTCTGGCCTGCTGGGCCCCAGTACTTGCCAGAGAGTGTGGCAGGAGGCTGGGACCCCAGATAACCTCAGGTGCTCAGACCTGGTAATCCTTCCGCCATTGGTGGGCAGTTGAGAACAGAGGGCTCCGTCGCTGCCTGGTGACCAGGGAGAAGAAGCCTCGCAGTGCTTTCTGAGCCTTGCCACCTGGCTGGTTTTCCAGTCGTAATTTAGAGACCAAGAAAGCAAGTCAGAGCTGGGGTGAGCCTCCAGAGCCCCAGCTCCTGCCCAGGCCTCACTCCCTTCAGTCTCCTAGGTTGGTCTCTTAAGGATCAGTGCAAGGTGCAAATCCTGACTTCTGTTGTTCCACCATGTGGTTGGTATGGCTGTTGCATCATTTTTATTCTTTTATTAAATGTGCCTGGGAATATTCCAGAATCCAGGAGTGCCTGCCGACTTGGAGCTTACAACCTAGTGTGGGGAGACTGATTATCAATACGTTTACCTGGATCTAGACTCTCCCATCCATCTCCAACTACTACCCCATCGCTTCTTGTCCTTAATGCAAACACTGTCAAATGCATGTCTAGACTCCCCTCCCACTGCTCTGATGGAAAGACCTATCTGGGAGAAGAAGATTCTGGGCGGAGCAAATAGCCAGTGCACAGGCATGTTCAAGGGATTCAAATGGCCAGCATGCTGGGGTGGGTGGGAGGGCAGACTGGGGTGAGTCCTTGGAGGAAAGTGTAGCGGGAGGTGTGCTTTTCCTCCCAGGGAGGCGAGGGCAAGAGGCTCCTGGCCTAGGAGTGGCAGGATGGACACCTGTAACTGAATTTCTTTGGCTGCTGAAGCTGAGAAAAGACTGCAGGGGACAAGAGATGAGTCTTGAGACCATTATGGGCTATTGCAATGGGCTGAGAAAAGGCTGGATTCTGGTTCTAAGTGGAAGACAGCAGACAGGATTTACTGTTTGAGGGTTCGAGGGATCTCAGAAGTTTCTGACCATCAGAAAGGTTGGAATTATCAGAGTGTCAAAGACAGTTGGAGAAGCATGTTTGGGGAGGGGGAGATGAGGAGCTCACCTTTGAACATGACCACCTTTGAACTGAGTAGATGACCTCTAGCAGTGATGCTAGTTACATGCTGAGGATACAAGAGCCAGGAATTCACAGGAGATCTTGGCTGGAAATCAAGGTTTGGGAGTCACGGGCAGATGGCATTTAAAGCCCTGGAACTAGCTGAGACCATCCAGAGAGGGAAGGTGAAAACAAAGGAGTAAAACATGTGGCTGTGTTGTGGGTGGGGTGGATAGCAGAGTAGACTGAACTGGAGCGGCCGAGAGGTAAGAGGAAAACCAGGCAGGAAGCTGGAGGCGGGTGAGGCCTAGTGAAGGGAATGTTTTCTGTAGAAGGGCATGACCATCTGGATCAAATGCTGGTAGGACAAGATGAAGACTGAGGTGGGAATCCCAGGTTTCAGCAACATGGAGAGGTACCTGTGTAACCATCACGGGGTTAAAAAAATAGTAACACCTCAAAAAAATCTCCCCAGCGCCCCTCTGCAGTCAGAATCTTTCCCTTCTGCCCTAGATGTATCACCAGTCTGCCTTCACTGATGTTATTTTAAAAATAATTTTGCCATCTAAATGTACTCCGGAACCCTTTGGACTGTTATTTAACTTTGTCTTTTAAAATTTTAGTTAAATTTAGCATCGAAACATGTATATTATCTAGGGTGAAACAGATCACCGGCCCAGGTTGGATGCATGAGACAAGTGATCGGGCCTGGTGCACTGGGAAGACCCAGAGGGATAGGGCGGAGAGGGAAGCGGGAGGGGGGACCGGGATGGGGAATACATGTAAATCCATGGCTAATTCATTTCAATGTATGACAAAAACCACTGCAATGATGTAAAGTAATTAGCCTTCAACTAATAAAAATAAATGGAAAAAAAAATAAATAATTTTTTCCAGCTTTGTCAATGTATAATTGATGAATAAAATGTAAGCTATTTAAAGTGTACAGTGTGGTATTTGATATGAGTATACATAGTGAAATAATTCTCATTTTAATTAATACATCTATTACCACTCATATTTACTTTCCTTTAGGTAAGAATATGTAAGTTCTACTTTCTTAGCACATTTTAACTATATAATGTAGGGTTATAAACTATATAGAGTCACCATGTTATACATTAGATCCTGAGACCTTATTCATCTTATAACTGAAGGTTTATATCCCTTTACCAACCTCTCCCTATTTCTCCTACCTAAGCCCTGGAAACCACTGTTCAAATCTTTCACTCACTTTTTTAAATTGGGTGCTATTTTAGTTCTTTATTGTTGCATTAAAAACACCCTAAAACTTAATGGCTTGTCACCAACAATAATGTACCTTGTTCACAAATCTTCAGTATGAGCAGGGGTTGGCCTCAGCTGGGATGATTCAAGGCTGGGATCTGAATTAGCTAGACAAGGGCTTCCTCTCAGCAAGGGGGCCCAGATACCATCAGATTTCTTACAGGGCAGCCTATCCCCCAGAGCAAGCACTGCAATACATCTGGCTGGGAGCTGCAAGGCTTCTTCTGATCTAGTCTTGCAAGTCCTCTGCGTGCTAAGTCGCTTCAGTTCTGTCTGACTTTCTGTGACCCTATGGACTGTAGCCCACCAGACTCCTCTGTCCATGGCATTCTCCAGGCAAGGATGCTAGAGTGGGTTGCCATGCCCTCCTCCAGGGGATCTTCCCAACCCAGGGATTGAACGTGAATCTCTTACATCTTTTCCATTGGCAGGCAGGTTCTTTACCGCTAGCACCACCTGGGAAGCCCTTGCAGGTCCCAGATGTGTTCTATTCATCAGGCAAGTCACTAAGGCCAGCTAGATTCAAGGGAAGGGAAATTAGATGTCACCTTTCACTGTGATGAATAGCAAGGGATGTTTATTTCCTGCAGTTACAGTTTTTTTTTCTTATTGATTTATAGAAGTTCTTCATATATTCTGTTTGCCTAATGTCATTATATGTTTTGGAGTGCTCTCTTCCATTAGCTTTCTTTTCACTCTCTTTATATCTTTCCCCACTTTGTGGCTAATGCTTTTTGAATCTTGTTTAAGAACTTTTTCTCTCCCTCAGGATCATGAAAAGACTCTCTTAAAAAAAGCTTTCCAACTTCTATT